CTATAGAAATATTTATTTTTTTTCTATAAAAAGTTTGAGTATAACAGTTTTTTATATTGAAAAATGTTAATATAACAGTTGTTGGTACTTTTGCCTGAAAAAAGGTACTTTTTCCCAAAAAGTTTATCTCTATTAAAACCAAATAGAAAAAAATCATGAAAAATACTAATGGAATCTTCAAATAAACAAAACGTAACGAAGAAACATGACAAAATAAACAACAAAAAATACAGTGGCAAACGGTTGAAGGGACGGACAGATAAAAAAGAAACACACACAAAAAAAGTACGTAAGAAACATGATACAATATTCAAGCAAATAACACGAACAATTTTATGGCCAAGTTTTCATTTTGGTACGAGAAACTTTATACCACATTTATATACAATTTTGTTTTTTTTTTATATTTATTTTTGTGTTTATTTATTCATTTTTTTGGTTCTATCTGTTTTACTCATGGTTTTTTTTTCCAATTTTTACATTAAAAGACTAAACACGAAAAGTGTTTTGAGAAAATATGTATGTTTTTAAATGCTAACAGAATAGTTTACAAAAATTTACTTTAGCAAATTATTACAAATATTTAGAATTTTTCTATAATTTTTGCAGAAATTTCTTTTTAAATTATATTTTCTCATAAAGATCTTGTTATTTATGCAATTTTGTCTGCAAGTAGGAAAAAAAAACACACTAGCAGCCACAAATAAAGTACTTTACTGATTAAAAGCCACAAACTATCTTAGAAAATTTTTTCCTAATTTTTTTTTTTTTCGTTCATAAAATAAAAATAAAGAAATTCTTCATTTAATTGCGGTTAATTGTTATAAATTATACTTTTTTTCATATTATTAAATACATAAAGATGATGACTAAACTTCATCGACGATGTTGATGAAGTTGATTATTATGAAAACAAAAGGGTTTATTTTAGAGGGGAAAGTAAAAATATAAACTGTTGAATTTCATTATAAATGTAGTTAAAAAAATTGTATAACAGTTTCTTTCCAAAATAAAAAATTGCATTTAAACACATTTTTATGAAAAATTTGTGTATAACAGTTTTTTCTCTAGAAAAATTTTGTGTATAACAGTTTTTTACAAAAAAAAAATTATTATAACAGTTTATTCTATACAAAAATTCGTCTATAACAGTTTTTTTATAGAAAAATTTATGTATAACAGTTTTACCAATAAAATCCTTTCTGTTTAACTGTGTATAACAGTTTTTCTGTAGAAAAATTTGTGTATAACAGTTTTTTATAGAACAATTTATGTATAACAGTTTTACCAAACTGTTTAACTGTGTATAACAGTTTTACCAAACTGTTATAACAGTTTTCTGTAGAAAAATTTGTATATAACAGTTTTTTCTATAGAAAAATTTATGTATAACAGTTTTTTCTATAGCAAAATTTGTGTATAACAGTTTTTTTCTATAGAAAAATTTTGTGTATAACTGTTTTTTATAGAAAAATTAATGTACAACAGTTTTACCAATAAAATTCTATCTGTTCAACTGTGTATAACAGTTTTTCTGTAGAAAAATTTGTGTATAACAGTTTTTTCTGTAGAAAAATTTTTGTATAACAGCTTTTTCTATAGCAAAATTTGTGTATAACAGTTTTTTCTATAAAAAATGTATGTATAACAGTTTTTTCTATAGCAAAATTTGTGTATAACAGTTTTTATATAGAAAAATTTATGTATTACAGTTTTACCAATGAAATCCTTTCTGTACAAACAATTTTTATATAACAGTTTCAATAAAAACCTTTTTGTATAACAGTTTCTCCTATAGAAAACTTTGTATATAAACAGTTTATTCTACAGAAAATTTTAGTGTAACAGTTTTTCCAATAAAAACCCTTTCTGTATAGAAAAATTTCAACAGTTTTTTCTATAGACAAATTTTGTTATATAACAGTTTTTTCTATAGAAAAATGTATAACAGTTTTTCCTAAAAAATCTATTGTATAAATTTTTTCCTATAAAAAACTTTGTAAGTAACAGTTTTTTTCTATAGATAATTTGTGTATAAGAGTGGAAAAACATTTTTTTATAGAAAAATGTGTGTATAACAGCTTCTTCTATAACAAATTCTATGTATAATAGTTGTTTCTTTAAAAAATTTCGTAAATAACAATATTTTTCATAATTCTGTCTTTTAAAAATTTCTTTTTAATTACGTCGCCTTGTAAATTACATAAAAATATACAGTTTGTAAATTTGCAATTAGTATGTAATTTTAGTTCCAAAAACTAAATTACACAAACTCAATGCAATTAGTAAAAATATAATAAAAAAGGAACAAAGCAAAAAAAAAAAACACAAAAGACCAATAGACAAACCTCAAAAATTTGTGAGTCAGTTTTAGAATATATATTTACAAACACATTCATTTATCCAACCATCCCATCCCATCCATCAGTTAATTTACAGACACAACATCAAAAAATAAACTAAAAATCATTTCACTTAAAATGACAGTAGTCAGAGAGAGTTCTGAATCGTTTGCCTGTCTCTGCCTCTTGGTATAACCGATTATTTTGAATGTCAATTTTGTGTCTTCCTGACTACAGGTTGTACAATGAAAACAAAAAAAAAATGTATGTAAAAATATCTGTTTGTTTGTAAAATAATATTTTGCTTGGTATATTTTGTTCTGTTTTTTTTTTTTTTTGCTTACCATGCAATTATATCTAATTACTTTTACACACTCTATAGGTTTAGTGACAAACATCAGCTGATGAATGGAAATAATAATAAAAAGAACAAAAACAACGTCAAACTATCTTTATTAGAGACATGTTCCTAGCAGCAAAAAGAAAACACACCCTGAAGGATATTTTTTTGCATACAAATGTATATTCTCATTGTTGTTCCGTTGTTCTCTTATATTTAGCTAAAAACTAAGATATTTTATAACATTCTACCTTCTAACTAGAAATTATATTACAACAATGGAAATTACTTAATTCGAATTAAATGGTTTTTAAATTAGTAAATTTAAAAAAAAAATCACAGAAACTATATTGTAATTAGAAGGTTTTTCTGTGAACTGTTAATGTATCTAATGAGCTAAAATTGAGCAAAAAAAAACGGTAAAGAATATGTATAACAATTATTTCTATGAGAAATTCGGCGTATAGAAATATAAATCATAGCAAAATTTGTGCATAACTGTTTTTTTCTCTAGAAAAAATTATGTATAACCGTTTTTCTGTAGAGAAATTATTTTAAAACACTTTTTGCTGTAGAAAAATTTATATATAACAGTTTGGTATAATAGTTTTTTTTTTTTCATAGAAAAATTTGTTTATACAGTTTTTTTATATGTTTTTCTATAGAAAAATTTCAGTATAACAGTTTTTTCTTTGAAAAAGTTTATGCATAAAAGTATTTCTATTGACATGTTTGAGTATAACAGTTTTTTCAATAGATACGTTTGGATATAACAGTATTTTCTTTCGAAAAATTTGTGTATAACAGTTTCTTTTATAAAAAATTTAGGTATAACAGTTTCTTCTATAAAAAATTTAAGTATAACAGTTTTCCTATAAAACAATTTGTTTATAAAACTTTTTTCTCTAGAACAAATAAATGTATAAGAATTTATCAATAGTTTTTTCTTAGAAAAATTTTTGTATAACAGTTTTCCCATAGAAAAATTTGTTTATAACAGTTTTACTGTAGAAAATTTTGCGTATAACCATTTTCTATAAATTTGTTTATAATACTTTTTTCTTTAGGAAAATGTCTGTTTAGCAGTTTTTGCTATAGAAAAAAAAAATTTTTAAATTTATTTATAAAAGATTTTTTATAGACATCTTTGTGTATAACAGTTTTTTATAGAAAAAATTTGTGTATAACAGTTTTCCAACAGAAAATTTTTTTATAACAACTTTTCTGTAAAAAAAACTTTGCTTATGACTATTTTTATATATAAAAATTAGTTTACAACATTTTTTTTCTCTTGAAAAAATTAATGTATAAGAGTTTGTCTATAGGAAAATTTGAGTGTAATAGTTTTTCTATAGAAAAATTTGTGTATAACAGTTTTTTCTTTAGAAAAGTTTATGTATAAAACAGTTTTAGTTTAACAGTTTTTTTTCTATAGATATGTTTGGGTATAAGAGTATTTTCTTTAGACAAATTTGTGTATAACAGTTTTTTCTATAAAAAAAATTTAATTATAACAGTTTTCCTATAAAAAAAATTGTTTAGAAAACATTTTCTCTTGAAAAAATAAATGTGTAAGAGTTTTTTTATAGGAAAATTTCTGTATAGCAGTTTTTTCTATACACATCTTTGTGCATAACAGTTTTTCTCTTTAGAAAATTTTATGTATAAAAGTTTTTCTATAGACATCTTTGTGTATAACAGTTTTTTATAGACAAAATTTGTGTATAACAGTTTTTCAATAGAAAATTTTTGTATAACAGCTTTTTTGTGGAAAACTATGCTTATAACTATTTTTCTATAGAAAAATTTGTTTATAACAATTTTTTCTCTTGAAAAAAGAAATGTATAAGAGTTTTTCTATAGGAAAATTTGTGTGTAAAAGTTTTTCTATAGAAAAATTTGTGTGTAATAGTTTTTCGATAGAAAAATTTGTGCATAACAGTTATATCTTTAGAAATCTTTTTGTATAAAAGTTTTTCTATAGACATCTTTGTGTATAACAGTTTTTTCTATAAATAAATTTGTGTATAACAGTATTCCAATAGAAATATTTGTTTATAACAGTTTTTTAGTTGAAATTTTTGCTAATAACCATTCTTCTATAGAAAAAAGTTTTAACACTTTTTTCTCTAGAAAAAATAAGCGTATAAGAGTTTTTCTACAGGAAAATTTATGTATACCAGTTTTTTCTATAGAAAAGTGTATGTATAACAGATTTTTCTTTAGAAAAGTTTAGGTATGTATAAAAGTATTTTTATAGAATATTTTTTATAACAGTTATGTTCGTGTATAACACTTTTTTCTAAGTAGGTACTTACCTTACACCATTTGACCGTTTCCTATATGGTTATCTGAAAAAATAAGAATAAATCATTTATTAAATTATATAAATTCAATGTTTTTTTGTTTTTTGCAAGATTCATTAAATAAATAAATAAACCTTCTTATTCCCTTTCATTCCCACTGTACTGTAGTTACAAAATCATCATTGATAAAAGAAAACATACAAACTTTCAAATATAGAAAATAATTTACAATTAGTATAAGTGTTTTGAATTAAACTAAAAATAAAAGAATCTTATCAGTTAAACAAAAAAATAAATAAATAAAACAATTGAAATTGCAGCATATTGCCAGCTAAAAACCTCTTTTTATATGAAAAAATTGTATATATAAAAAATATCTCATCATATATTACTTTGTGTTATAATAAATTTTCAACTAAATAATATAAAAAGTAAATAAATAAATAGCACAAATAAAAAACACTTACAAAATCATACGTAAACGAAATAAAATAAGTCCAAATAAATAATACAAAAAAAAAATTTTTTTAATTGTAGTTTATTTTTGATGTATTTGGAAATTCCATTAAAATTGGGGGCGTTTGAGATTAGAACCTGAACAACTACAACAAATATAGAAACAAGTTCAAAAACAATCAAATAGCAATAGACACAAATTTGTTACAAGTTTAACTTTCAAGTGTGTCTGCGTGTGTGTGTGTCGATGAAAATTAAATAAAGTCTTTTAATTTTGAAAATTACGAAAGTTAATTAATGTAATTCAATGCAAATGATAATGAATGTATGTTTTGATGTTGTTGTCGTTGTTGTTTTTAAAGTAATTTGGTAAATAAATATATAAACAGTCATTTACATTGTCACAGTGGTGTGGTTAACTAATATTTCTGAAAAGAAAAAAATTTTGACGATTAAAAAAACATTTTTAAATTTTTAACGATGTATAACACTTTTATAAAAAAAACAGTGTATAACAATTTTTTTGTTAAAATGTTTTTGTATAACAATTTTTTCTAGAGACAAATTTTTTTATAACAGTTTTTCTTTTTTAAGTAAAAAATTGTGTATAACAGTTTCTCTACTAAAAAATATATGTATAACAGTTGCTACAATAGAAAAATGGATATTACAGATTTTCTATAGAAAATTTTGTGTATAACAGTTTTTTAATAAAGAAAAGTTTGTGTATAAAAAGTTGTATATAACAGTTTTTAAGAGAAAATGTGTATATTACAGTTTTTTCTATAGAAAACTTTGTGTATAACAGTTTTTTCTCTCGAGAAATTCGTGTATAATATATTTTCTGTGGCAAAATTTGTCAACAACAATTTTTTTATAGAAAAAAATGTATAACAGTTTGTGTATCACAGTTTATTTATATAAAAAAAGATTGTATATAACAGTTTTTTTTTTTTTAATTTGTATAACAGTTACTTTATATAAAAAATACTTCTATTACATTTTTTCTATAGAAAAATGTATAAGAGTTTTTTTACAGAAAACTACATGTATAACAGTTTTTTCTGTTGAAAAATTGTGAATAACAGTTACTCCATAAAAAAGTGAATAACATGAAAGCATTTTCACATAGAAAAATTTGTGTATAATAGTTTTTGCTATAAAAAAATTGTATAACAGTTTTTTATAGAAAAAAATTTAGTATTACAGTTTTTCTTCTATAGAAAAGTCTCTGTTTAACACTTTTATTCATAGCGAAATTTATGTATAACAGTTCTTTTTATAGAAATATTTGGGTGTAACAGTTTTTTCCATAAAAATTTTGTATAAAAGTTTTCTTTACTTTTTAACAGTTTTTTCTATTGAAAAATTAGTTTTTTTCTATAAAAATATTCGTGTATAACAATTTTTTTCTATAGAAAAAATTGTGTATAATAGTTTTTTCTATAAAAGAGTTTGTATAACAGTTATTCATAGAAAAATTTGTGTGTAAAAGTTTTTCCATATAATTTTTTTCTTTAGAATATATTGAGTATAACAGTTTTTCTTAAAAACCGAATTATATAAAATACAGTTTACCATAGAAATCATGGAAAAGAAATAAATATAAAAGTTTCTTTAATAGAAAATTTTATGTAAAATTGATTTTTCTATAGAATGCATTGATTTGAACAGTTTTTTCTTTAAATTTTGTTTATAACACCTTTCTATTAAAAATTAAAATATGTATAACAGTTTTTCCTATATAGAAAATATGAGTATAAATTTTTTATAGAAAATTGAAAGTATAACACTTTTCTCAAAAGGAAGTTTAGTATAACAGTTGTTTTTTCTTTAAATATTATATTTTTTCTTTTAATTGCTATACAAATCTATGCCACTGTGCAACAACATCAAACTCTGATTAGAGAGGGAAGTTTTGTAAAATGTACAAAAAATTGGTATAAAAACAAAACAACTGTAAAAAAAATTGAAAAGTATTTTTTGGGTGTTAAAATTTACCAAAAAAAAAACCTAAAACAGAAAATACTTAACGTGGCATAAAAAAGCATTTGGGAGAGTTATAAAATAATAAAAAAATAAATAACATTACATTGAGTATACAAAGGTATGGTTCGTGATTTTCATACAAAAATAGTAAAATGAAAATACCAACAAAACAAAACACACGTACAAACACTCAATATGACGGGCAATGTAAAAAAAATGAGAGTAAGTACAATTTAAAGCTCAAAATTGCTATTAAAACCATTTTAAAGTGCTCTTTATATGGTTAATAAACAACAAAAATGTGAGGTAGCCCCCCAAAAAATACCAACAAAATAACCTATAAAAATAAAAACAAACAAACTACACACTTAAACATACATACACACACTTCCATCTAATATTAAAGTAAGGCAGCATTCAATTCGCCAAAGTTCAATATGTCTGGCAAGTTTCAATTGAGAAATTGTTTATAGAAAATAATAATCAGAAGGGGAGTAAGAAAATTACAGTTAAAAAATCAAAACAATAAAAGCAACAACAACAATAGCTAACAAACAAATGGGTGGTATGTAGGTATTACAGCAACAACAATATACAACAGGTTCTTGAAGTTTTCTTTAATAAAAATAAAACTGGACTATTTCTTGACTTGCTGACTAGTACGACCATTGAAAATGAGTAATCAAAAGCAAATAAAAACTTGAAATTAAGAAAACAATTTTGTGTGTGTGTAGCTGCTGTTATTTTTTATTAATTTTTTGTTGTTTTTGTTTAATATGTTGCAATTTATTGGTAGTTAAAACTTCTTTTTTTTCAATCAAACAATAAATACAACGTCATTATTCATTGTTAAACAAGAGTAAAGTGATTATTTTAGGTTATTGCTTTGTGTTTACAGTTATTTTGTATCAAATTTTAGTTTTGCTCTAATTTAAAAAATTAGGTAATTGTATGTACGAGTTTTGTTTTAATAAGTCTTTGAACTGTATTAGATATATTTGAGGGTAATGGCCAGAGACTTGGCAATACCCTAGTCTATTGACTAGACTATAGACTATACTATAGACTATACTATAGATAGACTAGACTATAGGCTAGACTATAGACTAGACTATAGACTAGACTATAGGCTAGACTATAGACTAGACTATAGACTAGACTATAGACTAGACGATAGACTAGACTATAGACTAGACTATAGACTAGACTATAGACTAGACTATAGACTAGACTATAGACTAGACTATAGACTAGACTATAGACTACACTATAGACTAGACTATAGACTAGACTATAGACTAGACTATAGACTAGACTAGACTATAGACTAGACTATAGACTAGACTATAGACTAGACTATAGACTAGACTATAGACTAGACTATAGACTAGACTATAGACTAGACTATAGACTAGGCTATAGACTAGGCTATAGACTAGACTATAGACTAGACTATAGACTAGACTATAGACTACACTATAGACTAGACTATAGACTAGACTATAGACTAGATTATAGACTAGACTATAGACTAGACTATAGACTAGACTATAGACTATACTATAGACTATACTATAGACTAGACTATAGACTAGACTATAGACTAGACTATAGACTAGGCTATAGACTAGACTATAGACTAGACTATAGACTAGACTATAGACTAGACTATAGACTAGACTATAGACTAGACTATAGACTAGACTATAGACTAGACTATAGACTAGACTATAGACTATACTATAGACTAGACTATAGACTAGACTATAGACTAGACTATAGACTAGACTATAGACTAGACTATAGACTAGACTATAGACTAGACTATAGACTAGACTATAGACTACACTATAGACTACACTATAGACTAGACTAGACTAGACTATAGACTAGACTATAGACTAGACTATAGACTAGACTATAGATAGACTATAGACTAGACTATAGACTAGACTATAGACTAGACTATAGACTAGACTATAGACTAGACTATAGACTAGACTATAGACTAGACTATAGACTAGACTATAGACTAGACTATAGACTAGACTATAGACTAGACTATAGACTAGACTATAGACTAGACTATAGACTAGACTATAGACTAGACTATAGACTAGACTATAGACTAGACTATAGACTAGACTATAGACTAGACTATAGACTAGACTATAGACTAGACTATAGACTAGACTATAGACTAGACTATAGACTAGACTATAGACTAGACTATAGACTAGACTATAGACTAGACTATAGACTAGACTATAGACTAGACTATAGACTAGACTATAGACTAGACTAGACTATAGACTAGACTATAGACTAGACTATAGACTAGACTATAGACTAGACTATAGACTAGACTATAGACTAGACTATAGACTAGACTATAGACTAGACTATAGACTAGACTATAGACTAGACTATAGACTAGACTATAGACTAGACTATAGACTAGACTATAGACTAGACTAGACTATAGACTAGACTATAGACTAGACTACTAGACTAGACTATAGACTCGAATAGACTGACTATAGGACTAGACTATAGGACTAGACTATAGACTAGACTATAGACTGGGACTATAGACTAGA